TACCTACTGACTTGCACGTTGGGTTTTCCCCAGATCGTGACCTTGCATTTTGGTCTTTGACCTTGGGTTTTCCCAAACCACAGATATACGTAAAGAACAGTTTGCTAACTAAATGGCAATTTAGGAAACGCAGCTGCAATGCAAATAAGTGGTTAAAAATTAATTTTATCTCTCATTGTATTCTAATTAAAGGTCTCAACGAAAGGAACCGTTTTCTACCAACTACTGCCCTTCTTTCTGTCCTCTTATCAAAGTACAGGATGGAGGGGGAGGGGGGAGTGGAACTAGTTTTATCCTTCATGGTACTCTAATGAAAGGTCTCAACGAAAGGAACCGTTTTCTACAAACTACTGCCCTCTTATCACAGTACGGGTTAGAGGGTGGGGTGGGGGGTTGGAACTAGTTTTATCCTTCATGGTACTCTAATGAAAGGTCTCAACGAAAGGAACCGTTTTCTACCAACTACTGCCCTTCTTTCTGCCCTCTTATCAAAGTACGGGCTAGAGGGTGAGGGGGGTTGGGGGTGGAACTAGTTTTATCCTTCATTGTACTCTAATGAAAGGTCTCAACGAAAGGAATTAATTTCTACCAACCATAGCCCTCCTCCTCCTCTTATCGTGATCGGGTATATTCCATTATACCTCAAGAACGGATTGTCGGAAGAGGGTACTCACAAAGGGCGAAGTTGGAAACTGTTGGTTTCAACAGGATGGTTGGTGCACTCGCACACAACGGTTAATCGTGGCAGAATCCCTACCGGATAAGTTTTTCATTTTGCAGAAAATTTGTCGAAACGAAACGTATTGCAAATCTGTCAACGGTAGAGCTCAGAGAATGACAATGAGAAAGTGTTTGTTCTTTTTGTATATCTGTTCAAATAACATCAGAAAAAAAGTAAAAACGAAATCGGCGAATTTTGGTTTTTCTGGAATATCTTCGGAAGTAGTCGGAATTTTCTGATTTTCTTTAAATAATGATAATAACTGTGTAATCGCGCAACTTTTCCCTAATTTGACCATCGTCGTCGTATCATCAATATTCTATGGTTTCGGAGATCTCAATGATAGACATATACATCTTTATCTTAGGCATAGTGTATGAGACGCCTGACAACTTTAAATTGATAACGCTTTCTTTGGCATTATTGTACCTTATGGACCAGAAGGGAGGGGTCAACGTTTGCACTAAACGGATAGTAATTTGTTGTAAACAATAAAAATTCCGCGTACTGCACGAAAAGTATGACATGATTTAATTTTTGTATTCTCGACTGAAAGTTTCATGTTAGAGGATCAAAATTGAAGACTGAACAAGTGTTTTAACAATTTGCTTAACCAAAGGAACGGAGGCATTTTAATTAATAATTTTGGGAGGAACGCTGAAAACAAATTCTATAATTTGACAGCTGAAATGGGAACGGCGGCCACGTAAAATATGGAATAACTGATTGACATTCCTGAAAATGCAGCGTTCGCAATAGCAGACGTATTTAAATTTGTATAGCAGAAATGTCCGGAACAAATTATAGTTAAACACTGCTCCTCATAAATACATACGGTTAATAATGTAAGCATTACATTATCTTCCGCGAATAATAGACAATTATTATAAAAGCAAATTGCCCATATGAAATTTTGTAATAATTTATAAGGTAATACAACCATCGTGGAATAATCAAAGCAGTTAAGTTTGTGACAGTTTAACAAGCAATAAAAATGTCGGAATTTTTTTTTTGTTGCTTCGTGTGCGGAAGTTCATATCAGTCACGTACTTTGCACTCGTGATTGGCAGATCCTTTCGTTATTTGTTCCTTTCTATTGTAACCGTAACGTTCCTTAAAGATACAATTTTTAAGAAAGAAAAATCAGCACTTTTGCTTTATACGTTCATTTCAATTGATTTACGTTTGGGTAACTACCCTGAATATTCCAGTTACAGATCAGGGGATATGCAAACCCACACCCGCAGTGCAGTTAGTTATCCTTGGCTGCACAAGGAACCACTAGGGAATTGCAACTATGACTACATTAGGGAAATTTGTAGCTTCGAATGGCACGATGATGAAAATTGTACTGACCCAACTGTTTTCCGCATACTACGATGTTACAAGATGTAACTACGTAACTATTGTGACCCTTTCAACTGATTATTCGAATGTGAAATTAAAAGAGGGTGCACGAAATAGATTTACGAATTTCATGAACATGTTGATCTTGACCAGTATTTCTCCATTGAAATTGTTGCATAAGTTATTTCCGATGTGTAAGTTTAATGAAATGGTATTTTTATCAGTTTTAAAAATTGATAGCTCAGTTTTAACAATCTAACTTGCTAAAATTGAGTTTTTAACACTTTTCATGCATTTCATAAATGACATTAAAA